CCAGTAAAGCCAATCGACAGCTGGTCAAGAGGAATCCGTCATCGTCTTCTGGCAAAATCGATCTTCGATTCTATTCACTAAACACTTTCACTCGAAATGCTATTGGTTTCACCTCGTTTCCCAACTGGGTTGGGGTGACAGGGAGACCTTGTAAACCTTGACTATGTAACAATATGACAGACTCTGGTCAACATTCCCAACACAACGGTGAAGGGGGTGATCACGACAGCGTGGAGTGTGAAGAGTTTTTATGAATGCCGCTCAAAGGATCACACCACACTACATCTCAATAAGCATGGTACAAATTGTAACAGTGAAGACGTGATAGGAGGATATAGGAAATGTGAATAGCCTAAGGCAGAAGGAGAGATACCACAACTGTTTAGCACACATTTGGTCAAAGGATGGGCTTCACTTGTCCATTTGACGAGTTGTAATATGGTGCTGCGAATGGTGAAACTCATTGACGATGCCGACTACGATGTCGGCGAAACTTCTGGGAATGTACCACGTCCACGGTCCGACTCTGGAAATAATTATGCGTACAATGGACTCCGGACTAGGTGCGTTTCTATAAGTCTTCCTACCATTATGACCAAGTTGCGAAAACAAGGTCAAACAACTTGTGAATGTTGTTGATGCACCAGCATCAAAGTAACAAGGGAAGGCAATTCACTTGACCAATTTTATGTATAAGCATTGTGGTATCATTCCTCACACTTATGTTTTGGCCTGCCTTTTAGTATTGTGTTTCTTATTCTCAACCCCAATTCACACAATTCCGTGCTCTGTTATCCTCCAATGTCGCCTCAGAGTGTGTCTCTACAAGTAGATTTAGTGAAGTGTAATCATCTTCACCACCGGTTCCAGATGCCGTTTGCAGGGTTTCTGGGTCATGGCTTCATTTTATTCATTTAACTCCCTCTTCCAACCCACTTGTCAATTTGTCTCTGCTTCACCATAAATCATTTTCTGCTTGTCTGAAATCTGGCCTCCCATGAGTCTTCGACTCCCGCCCCGTTTACGTCAAATTCTAATGATTTAGAGCTTAGACATCTTCCTCTTCCGATGCCCCTGACCGATCACCCAGTTATCCTCTTTCTCATCCTCACCCATGTCGCATTTCATTCTTAGGGGTGCTGTATCCGGCTTAATTCGGAACTTATTTTTCGTTTATAAGGAGGGTTTTGAGACTTCCAGTAAGCCAGTTATATGAATGTATTCACCCTATTTCGTTCAAGATGATGAAGGAATGGGAGTTGAAGTTACCTACAATCAGGTAAATAGGCCCAAAGTTTACGATTAATTTCACATAGCCTTGCTTTCCCAAAAGATGTTCTCATCCAGGTTGAAGAGGACTACAGTTTCGACCGCACCTAAGTCTTTCAACACCCCCAGCGGGAGTCGAACAATGACAGTATAGG